GTAGTAGTAGTAGTAGTAGTAGTAGTAGTAGTAGTAGTAGTAGTAGTGGTAGTGGTAGTGGTAGTGGTAGTGGTAGTGGTAGTGCTAGTAGTAGTAGTAGTAGTAGTAGTAGTAGCAGTAGCAGTAGCAGTAGCAGTAGTAGTAGTAGTAGTAGTCGCAGTCGGGAGAGGGCCGTTATATGTTGTGGAAGATACAGCTGAACGTGTAAGTATAGATATTTCTCAAGTTGCGGAACATTTTCTTAAGATATTTCTTTTACACAACTTCTCATAACATCTGCGAGAAATTTGTTTACCACGTAAGTTCTTGTAACTTCCGCACATAAGTTCCCGTAAGGTCAATTAAGCAAGTTAGCAGAAGATACGCGGCGCTTAGGCGGAAGTTAAGAAACCGTTAAAAATGATGTGGTGCCCGGCAAGAGCGCTGGCTGAAAACAATACATTGCGCAGTGGCATTTGGGCTCAGAACGCGCGTCAAAGGGAGTCTCCACGCAAGACTATACCGGCGTGAGTACTGCCACTTGGACGTCTGCCGTAAGTGGAGTGGAGAAGACTTTGCGGCGCTTGGATCCCAGCCAAGCCGAGTCCAGGAGCGCGCACTTGAAGTCGCTACAAGACTCTTTGTCTCGCGCGCAAATACCTCCGGAGCAAGAGGAAAACCTCTTGGCAGCCCTGCTCTTCTGCACGCAGCCGGAAAAAGATACGCTTTTGGCCGCAGACGCCCCGCGGCCACGGACGGGAAGGGACGCCGGGCCATGCAGCGATACGAAGCCTGTCCATTGTTTACGGGGGCGCTTTGGCCCTGGGAGCAGTGGCTCCGCAGAAGCCTTGCGCGGGAAGGCGGCGAAGCGGAAAACGCACGCGCTAGACTTCTCACTCAAGCAAGAAGAAAGCTCAGCCTGAAGTGAAGAAAGTGGGAAAGGAAGGGCGTGGGAGGCCGAAGGCAGCAAAGGCCTGCGCAGACGTTCCTGAGCGCGGGCAAGAGGCGCCTACGCGCGCACAGACTGGGCGACAACAGTGTAGTTTTCACCTTCTGACCTCACAACAGTCCGCAGTGTGGGAGAGAGATAAGGACTCAGGAACGAAACGCGCAATGTTGCTTTTCTAGGTATATCCGATGTCCTGTCCGCGGGATGTTCACGAGACGGACAATGTCCGCGACCGTATACATACCCGCGAGATGCGGTATCCTGGAAGCCTTGTTCAGCGGTGGACGCTTTTCTGTCTTAGGCAAGTGTCTGAGCTCATGTGGCCAGCGGCTCAGAAAACCTACAGGTATACCGGCCTGGCCTTTGCGTCAGAGCACAGATTGGGCGCCTATGGGGGTACGCACGGGGACCTGGTCAGGAAATTGCAGGTTGCCTGACGCTGGCCTCTGGGTCAAAAGGATCGATAGGTCAGGAAACTGCGGGGAGAGGGTACAGGTTTCTGATGTTGGCCTGCGGGTCAAGAGTTGGTCAGGAAACTGCGAGTTTCTGATGTGGGGCTGTGGTCAAGAGTCGGGCGGGAAACTGCGGTTTCCTGATGTTGGGCTGTGGATCAAGAGCTGGTCAGGCTGGCCAGATGAGGAAACTGCGGGTTTCCTGATGTTGGCCTGTGGGTCTGGAGTTGGTCAGGAAACTGCGGGTTTCCAGACGCTGGCCTGATGCTGGCCTGTGGGTCAACTGAGACGAGAGCACTTGGGCCCAGACTTTGCAATCGGAGCCAAGCATGTCCGCAAGAAAGAGTGGCAAGGAATGACGACTTGAAGAGAGCTGCCATCGATCTGCCAGTTCCACCGACACTAACTGAGGCAGATGGCCAAGCGCAACAGTAGCGCAACCTCACACACATGCCAAGTGAGCCTTGGCGCATTCACTGCCAGAAAGGAAAAGGCAAAGACGCCGGGGAACTTCCAATGGGAGAAAGGCATTTTCTTTGGCAATACCAACAAGTCTGACAAGTACCTCATGGGAACGAAGAAAAGGTTTCACACAGCTAGATCAGCGAAGCGACTTCGAGAAGACGTGAGATGTTCAGCTGATTTCATTGAGGAGCTGATGGAAGTTTGCTGGAACGCATTGACATCTGACATCGATTGGGCGACCAAGGAAGGCTATTGGTGGAGATGAGACACCAGCGCCGAAGACTCCAAAGCCGGCAACATTCGTTAATGCCAGGAAAAACTTTACTGCAAGGACAATGTGCTGAGGTACCGTTGGAGACACCACAAAGAACATCAAGGCAGGTGGAAAACTATTCAGAGCAGGATTCTGGCGCGAGACGAGCAAGACGACCATCCCTCTCTACCTCTATGGCAACAGCTTCTATGTGAAGATCAATAGGAGTCAGATATGGTCAGCAAGTTGCCCAAGCAGCAGTCCATTGTGGCCCCTGTTGACCAGAAGGATGAGATGGAGCGTGCGTGGCGTGGTGTGGGTTTGGAGCGCCCGCCAGAAGATGAAGTTCGAGATGATGAGTTGACGCCCTTCCCGACCGTGAAGGAGATGAGGGAGCGACTGAAAGAGCTTTGCTACGCTGTCCACGGCAACAAGCAGACCGTGTTCGAGCGCTTGAGAAAGGCCGAGCGGGGAGAGAAGACAAGGAGAGACAAGCAGAAAGCCATTCTTGTGACCTTTGCGGGATCGAGAGAGAGAGAAGCCAACAATGAAGAGCTCAACTGAAGAGGAGTTCAAGAAGAATTCATGGAGAACAGATACGATGTCTATGCTGTGAGCAGCACATCGGCAACTTCGAGGATCATCGTCCTGGAAAGAGCATTTGTCTGGAGGCGTGCACGGATGACATCTATGGACGCGGGCCAGGGGCGAGTTGGAGGGAAGAGCTCACGAAGAAGGTCAACGTACGAACATGAAGACCGGGACTAAGTGGGGCGCAGAATTTGCACATCTGAAGAGGCTGAGACAGCTGAATCAAGATGGCAGCGCGCGCGTCAGAGCAAACCCCAAGCACATCGAGTCAGCAGCGAAGATCCTTGGAATTGAAACGTCAAAGTCAGCGCCAACACTTGCCGTCGCAGGGGGGAGCCAGTCCAAGAATGACAAGGACTTGGGCAGCCTGATGTATGTTGCTCCTGACAGGCCAGACTGTCAGTATGCCATTCGAGAGCTGGCAAAAGATCTTCGAGAACGAAAAGGCAATTCTGCAGGCAGCCATCAGGGCGACGCGATATCTGATGGGAACCCTGGACAATGGGATGAAATTCACACCATTAGGCACGATGAACTATTTCGATGTCTTCAGCGACATGGACTGGGCAAGCTGAAAGCGCGCAAGGAAGAGCTTTTCAGGGCTGGGGGACGCACTTTGGCAACCTACAGTTGGGGATTAGGCGTGGTTTGCCTAGCAAGGGGCCGAGTTCAACGGTGCAGTTGCAGCGGCAAGAGAGGCTTTGTTCTTCAAGCAGACCCCGGAGTTCTTTGGCGTGCCAATTATGGTCAAGATTTGGATGGACTCGAGCGCAGCTCGAGGCATTTTCCAACGTCAAGGAGGGGTGAGTTCGCCACCTGGAGGCAAAGCGCGTAGGGTACAAGATGGCCTGAAGGAGAAGAAGTTCGAACTGGGTGCAGTCCACGCTTCAAAGAACCTGGCCATCATTGGAACAAAGGCGTTGAATGAAGCCACACTGACCAAGCGCAGGTCAGGGGTTGAGTTGATCTCATTGGAAGCCTTCATCGAGGGAGCCAAGGTGAAAGACGAGTAGGAGAACTATGTGACCTCGGGAGCCGTGGCCAAGATAGAGCGAGGATTGAAGGTGTTGATCCTACTCACTACTTGGAGTACGCAGTCTGCTTGGTTGATGGGGCAGATGAGCGCAAAGAGAAAGAAAGCCCAGGAGTCAGGGCCTGGCACTGCTTCAGCATCATCATCATCAACATCATCATCGCGAGCTTGATTTGGACGGCGCTTAGCGTGACCAGCTTTATGGCGCGCTATGAGCGCAGGCAGGGTGAGAAGAAGAAGAAGAAGACGAAGACGAAGAAGAAGAAGAACAAGAAGAAGAAGAACAACAAGAAGAAGAACAAGATTGAATTTGAGAAGCGCCTCATTGAAGAAGAAGAAGAAGAGCCCAAGCCAGTGCAGCCGCAAGTGGTGAGTGTGAGGAAAGGGTGGCCGTGGTGAGCTCCAGTGCAGCGACCGCAAAGGTGATCAACCAGTTGAGGCAACGCAAAGCCACTTCATCAGGAGAAAGTGGTGGTGAGCATTTGTACACATGGCCTGAGTGGCGCGCCATTTGTGCCAAAGAAGGACTACAATAGAAGACGCGCCACAGAATGCCTACCTGCTGGACCACAGGACTGGGAAGTTGAAAGCAGCGAAGAGCGCAAGGACATGGTCCATGTGCTGGGACTGTCACCGCAGGAGACATGACCAGGTGTTCACGTGGAAGAACATCTGGAGCCGCGAGATGGGCTAGCGGCTTGAGCCTAGGATGGTGAAGTTGGGCAAAAGGCCTACCGTTTTCCCCAAAACAAGGGTGCAGAGACAGACATGCCACATGGTACACACGTATACCTGGCAGCCCATTTCAGCTTTGTGGAAAAGCGAGGGTCTCTCCGTGGTGCGCCACTCCGCTGCATAGATGTCTACATATATATATATATATACATATACGTTTGCAATGTCTTGCTTCAGCCTGTCTTGTGCCGTCAAGCCGCAGAAGGATTCCGACGATGCGACTATCTCGGCAGAGGCAAGGACGCGTACCGAAAGAGACAGACAGACACACACACACACACACGTGTTGAAGACAAGAACCAAACAAAAAACATGCACCCTGCCACCAATGATGGTTGCAGAATGCAACTATAGATTTATAGAGTCAGCATTTTCTGCAAGGCTCTGAAGCGCACAATGGATGTGCTGCTGCAAGGCAAGGATGAGGCACGGAGCACTTCGCTCTTGTATTGAACGAGCAAATGGGAATGGGAATGCTACACAATGCTTGGTTGAATAACCAAACTCATGCTGACGACTCTGTCATTTCTACTACCTATATATATATACAGTTACGTACGTCATTTGGTGCGCATCAGCGTCTCACTTGTGAGATTGTGCACTTTGTTCAGATTGAAAGTGAAGTGCGTGCAATACACTGGTATGATGCATGCGCAATATGTGTGAAGGATTTGGAAAAGAAAGAGGACGAGTTTGAGGAGACAGAGGCCGCCCAAGCAGCTACATAATGGAGTCTCCGGAAGTGGATAAGCCTAGAATTATCATTGGTTTTGCCACACTTTGCCTGTATCGGTGTGAGAGTGCATCAATTGCTAAGTATTTGGGTTAAACGTGGCAGTATATGACTGCCCGTAAACTGGAACATCCCTGCCCTGTGAGGATGACGCAGTCGATGAGGCTTGAGACTATCCGCAACCATATGGTGTTTAATCTTTGAGTGGTCCTTTGACACCCTTGCATTAGACATTCACATCATACACCTATGAGGACACCGGGAGTGAGGACGAGAAGGACAAGGATGGGCAGATAAATTGACACAGATCGACATGGATGAAAAAGGAAACCGATACCATGGGGGGCAGTACTACTGAGCTGTTTGTTTGGCACATCGAATGCCATGTTTGTCGATGAAGATGTCGAGTTTATTCTGTGCAAGGGTTGGTCACCGTTGGTCCATTGTTAGTGCTGGGGGACACTGCCGGTGCAAGCACTCCTTACAACAAACGGTGCATAGAAGGAGCTCACCAGATGCTTCCCTTTCTTGTTTCTTCAGGACGTTGCAACTTCGGGTGAGGCCAAGCGCAGGACGTGAGAAAAATGTTTCAGCAATTCATGTCTTGAGAGTTTATACATAGCTTCGCTGTATTCTTGATTCATGCGCACCCACAAGCTCCTTGGAATCTACCACATGTCGTTTGGCTGCCTTGCACAACAACTCTTTTCAGGAGAAAGCAATAGGGCACGATAGGGCAAATGGAAGCGGAAACTCGGCTTGCCCAATCAGCCTGCGTATTTGCTGGATTTTGTTTGGCTGCAAGACTCAGTGTTTTTGACTATACATAGTAATTAGAGAGGGCTTGAGCATGACTCATAGGACTGTGTTTGAAGACCAGTTCTTCCCAGCGCTGTCTCTTTTGAGTAGTGTGCACATGCTGGCAGACTGGTTTTATTGTATTTGAGACTTGGCAGTTTTTTCTTTTATTCACATACCTTTGCACTTCAGGCGTTGCTTCTCTTGGAGCCAAGATGCCTTTGATTCATCAATGCTGAAAAGGGTCAATTTGTCAATGCGGTGAAGCTTGTAATATGCCTGTTGATCAAAGTCAAAGCAGCAGGTCAGATTTCAAGCAAGGTGTGGTTGCATTGCATTGGGGAATCGTGCATTGGGCGTTTGACAAGCGTGAACTGGTATGGGGCCTACGACTGGTTGTTCCACCCTGATGAAGCTTGCCCATTTGAGTGGCAGTCAGTGTGGAGGCAATCTACCCTCAACCGACGGCTATTCATGCCTCGTTGGCTGGTGGGCTTTGCCAGCAGAGGAGCTAGTCAGTCACTCTTCCTTTAGTTGCCCTGGTACCCTGGAATCCTCATACTGACTCATACCGCCCTATGTTTGAGCAACAGGCACATGTCCACCTGGCAACATGTCATGACGTTGACATGTTCACATAAGTCGTCCCACCTTGTTTTGTTCAGGATATGTTTGCCAGGTTTTGCAAACCATCTCGGCATGTTCAGGCCGCCAGGGTCTGGCTCAACTACCCCATACTAGTGAGTGGTGGCCTATGAATCGGACTCCTCTCGCCACAATTCTCCTCTCCGATCGCCCATGAAATGTCCGCGTAGTCGGCCCTAATGACTCGACTTCTTGCCTTTTGGGAGTTTGGGTGGTGCGGAAAACTCATCACATGCTGTGATTTTGGCTGGTCTGGGTTTTGCCCACCTTGCATCCGGGCCTGTCCTCCTACCGTCTGACTTGGGGGAGATCAACCCTTAATTGTTGCCAAAAGGTCCGCTTTTGACCGTTCACAATCCAACTGTTTGGGTTCTACTCTGAAAACATGGTGCAATTTGAGGGGGAATCTGCAACACATGAAGCCACTTTGCTGAGGAAGGCCCGTGGGTTGAATGTGAGACCACAACAAGAAAGCACAGCATTTGTGCCGCCAACCCCAACATACAGTCATACGAGCAAACCAATGAAGCAAGCTTCAGGACACCATTGTTGAATGGCATGATGAGAACAACGATTTAGAGACCAGAGAGGATTTGGATTCTCGTGGCAAGCCATGCAGCTTCAACTGTGCGCGCCGCGAAGCATTTGTGGCGCTTGCCGGGAAACTGCAGTCCAGAGAGAGGCCTCAAATCAGCGAATGCAAGTGTCGCCAAGCTACAGCTCGCACCCGAGCTTTATCATTTAAATTTATATGATGACCAAGAAGTGAGAAGTACCAACTACCATCAACTACGAGCATGGTAAAGGTCTGTTGTAGATATCCTGTATACCAATTGAACATCAGGAACGGCAGTGGGCGGAAATTGACAAAAGATATCTACAGGAAGCTTCAATTTGTGATGAATGGTGGACTGATGATGTGATGTGTTGAAATGGGTTCTACCTTACCTATGGAAAGGCAAGCACAGCAGTATATTCACGTGCTTAGACTTTCCAATTTAGTTCCTCCTTTGTACGATTTGTACCGTTTGCGCTGGGTTTGTACTTTTCTCTAGAATCTAGAAGTCTTTACATGTTCTTTCATGTTCTGCATATGTTTCTACTACTAGTTTATTACTTTGCACTGTGTTTAAACATCTCTACTTTCGCATCGTTTTCTCCGGCCATCTCCACCTCATTCACCTCTGTTCCATTTCACAATCAACTCGTCGTAACTCGGAACTTTCTCATCGGAGCTTCTTTTGTATATGTTTACTATTGTTTACTGCATGTATACTGTATACATATATATATATATATGTTTGTATCCACTGTGGGAAGAACTGGCTAGCCCCAGCCATTGTTGCTCCGCCCTTGTGGAGCGGCGAAGGCGGCGCGGCCAGTGCGGTCAGCACGGCTCCGAGAAGGCCCACCAAGCCAAGGACAAATCCAATGCGAATCCTACCTACTAGCGTCCTTGCTACTAGTAGCTATGCCAGGAGCCCCTAGTAGCTTTTTGTTCCTAGTAGTAAGGCCAGGAGCCCCTAGTAGCGTCCTTGCTCCTAATATTATTCGCAAGTTTTCTATATCTAAGTATGTAGATGTTGTTGGAGCTCGATTTCTTTGTGGAGTGCGTGCGTCAGGTGCCGCACTTTCTGCTTTCACAAGTGTGAGTGTGGTCTAGAACTCAGAGAAGCTGCAGACACTGGTGAAAACGAGACCACGTTTTTGGGTATTTGTACATGGTAACATCAAACAGTGGCTGTCCAAAGTATACTCCCCCGATCATACACACTCATTGGTATCCTATTCTGTGGCTTCAAAGGCACTCAGAGGCTTACTGTTTGGAGCAGTATTTCGTCTAAACTACTGCTGCTATAACTCCAACTACCACCTCCGTTTTACACCATGTCTACAAAGACTGATTGCCTCCCCGATGCCGCAGAAGCATCAGTCGACCTTTTTGAAGGGACCTGACCACGTGGACTCTTGAACGTATTATGTGTGAAAGGAAATATCAAGGAGCAAGGTGTCAAGTACTTGAATTCCTTCCTAGAGAACCCAGCCGTTATTCTGGTTGGGGTATGAAAGGCGATGAAGGGCGAATTATTAACATTTACACAACTATGTGTAAACCGATAGAGAAAAGCCTATGCTTCTACCCTTGATTCTGTATCATTGTCCGGGTGAGGCACTTGTTGCACAAAGAAAAGTCTTCCACAACGCAAAAAGGCGCCCATTGTGGACATCCGGTTTATGGTGGTTTATGGGGCAAGCTTGCAGCGTAGTGTCATTGTTCACAGTCCAACAGTCGAGTACTTGTGCGAATACACTGTCCAGCTATGTCCAGATCAATTGTTGATGCACAGGCATCGTGAGCGCCGGAGAGTGTCGGAGTGCCGCTCCACGAGCGAGGCTGGAGAGCCCGAGACATGTAACTCAAGGTCTTACATAACTTACACTAAGTCTATAAGTGCTTCGAAGAAGTTGGCAGGGTCGAGGGTGAACCTGAGTGGCTCTTTTCCCGGCGGAGAGTCATCACAGTGTTTGTTCTGACTGCTTGAACAGCGACAACATTGAGGAGTCACTTGATTTTGGCCTTGAGTCGGAGCTGATTGTGAAGGTGGGGAAACTGGTTTGCTGAACGCTTTGCAAGTTGCTGCTTGTTTGATCGTGTTTGTGGATTCAGATGCTTTGCAGCGCAAGCTACATTTCCAGCAAAGCTTTACAGGTTCCACCATACGACCGGCGGAAGATTGGGGTCAGTGCCTCGGGCACTTGTTAGGCCTTGGGAAGGGAAGCTGCATCCAGCCCTGTGGTGAATGTCCGCCGCTGCCAAGTTCAAGCCAAGAGTCTTTCCAAGTTTGACAGGTTCATCTTCTTAAGCCATCAGTTTCTACTTAAAGGATCTTCAACCGAGCTTGGTGTTGCCAATAGACTCGAAGTATCGTATCCAGGTCAACTGCTGAGCACCAAGTCATCAAGCACTCATCCCAATTCTGTTGCATTTTGCTTCGTACTTATCAGCAATGCGCGCACAAGAACCTCAGAGAAGTCGTGCATCAGAGCTGCGGGCCGATGTTCGTATTGCTCCAAAGGACCCTGCTGCGGGTAAAGGCTGCCAAAGTGCTCAAGCTGCACTGGAGGCTCTCGTAGCTGCCAGAAAGTTGCGTAAGCAAGCTGAAGCTGATCAGCAACGGCTTTGTCGCCATCAACAGAAATGGGAAAAGCTTTGTGAAGCTCCCTTTGAGGAGCAATCGCCAGATGCGTGTGGAGTCTGTAGTCCGGCGACTTTCTGGCAACGGCACAGCTTTGGCCGATCATCCCGCCGAACTGTGCCTCAACCTGTGCAACTGACTCATCGACCTCGTGACAAGGTATGTATGGAGATGTTTCGGCGATCACCAGTGCATGCAAATGATGCTATAAAATCTGTTATTGAAAAGCCAAGCGCAAAACCAAACGAGCTGAGGGCAGACAGCGCCAAAGACTTTCTCTTAGAGGCCTCATTTGACTGGAGTGATCCTTGCACCTTGGCATACAATAGTGGGCTTGCGGGCTCTTGCCGGCAGGAGAAATGGGCATATCAGCGACAACTATTCGCTGAGCTGGAGACTCCTAGCAAAACCACCTTTGGCTTTGATGAGGAAGATATGATACTAATGAGAGAGTCCCAGGCTTTGGACAGGGTGGCAGGAGGAGGTGTGAACCTTGCTAAACATGTTTTGGCGCTGAAGGACGACGGAGCGGCCGTGGAGGAGTTTAAGACGAAAATGGTTCAGTTTCTATGTTTCAAAACGAACAAAGGGCATCGCTACCAACGGAGCAAAAAGCTACTAGTAACTAGTAACTTACAATCCATGGTGCGTTTAGTCCGTGAAACTACGAAGTTGGGGAGGATTTGATCCCATGGTGTAGCAGAGCTCAAGCAGCTGCCTTCGAGATGCCCAAGGAGATTGCTTTGCAGCTGGCCGTGGCTTTTGCCGAAGTCGATGGTGAGCTGGAGCTGCACGAGCTGAAGGAGTTGCAGGCCACAGCAATGTCATTGATCTCGTCAGCTGCAGCACGGGCTCGAGACTCCGACAGTTGTGAATTCCCATTGCTGGGACTTGAGACTCTTGCTCAGACCGGATTGGGATGGACAGCCTTCTCGAACATGTTCTTAGCCACGCTTCATGCACAGCTTCAGCGTGAAGCAAACAGATCCAGAGTTCTCACCAAAGCATTGGCCCATCGTGTTGCTTCAGTCTTCATTTGGGCTGCCAGTCATGCTGACTTGCGAGTTGATTTGTCACCTGCAGGAAGAAGGGTGGCACAAGCGGTGTGTGATGCACTTCTCGAGGAATGTGACGCAAACACACTGAACTTGCTCAAAGGCCTCACAATTCGAGGTGCTTGACGCTTGACAACTCCAAATGTTTCTTGCCTAAGGCAAGCCATCGTACAAGCTTGAAGAGACACAAACCACACGTGCAGCATTGGTACTTCATGTATTGGATTGTATTGGCTTGGTTTTGCTGCATCATGTGACAGAGGTTTATACACTAGCGATATCTAGCGGTGTTTTTGACCGCGAGATGAACTTGTTACTTGTTCGAAGTGGCCCC